TAATAATAATAATAATTTGTAATCTACTACAAAGAAACTTTTGTGTAATAGAAAGGTCCCATGGACGTTAAAGTTTCTTCATGGAACCGTAGATGCCAAACTTTATTTTTCAGAGTTTTGTAAATAACTTTACATTATTCTATTATCTGTCTCTTGCACACACAAAAATATTATACACCTAGATACATTACATATCAAATTATGTGTATTATCCTTTTTATCTTTTTCGTTTCTTTCTTTTTTTTCAAATCTAATTATTTTATATTCAGCTGAGGAATAAGACATCTTCAACAAGCACAATGAAATCTGGGTTAACAACAAATCTGCCCTCTATTTGTCCTTCAGGTAGGAAATGTAAGCGCATCATTGGTTTCTGTCGGTATAGCAGTTCACTGGTCACCGATCTGGGTCTAGCGGTTCTTTCTCAAGTTCACTTGCATAGGTGGCCCAGGTTCGAGGGCAATTTGGCAGTTGGACGCGCTCATGATGCGCTATGGTGACTGTGCTGACACTTGAGATTCCACTCACGTTCAGAGCGGAGTATTTCATCGGTGAGTCATATAATGCTCGTGGCGTGAAATTGTAGTCGTTTTGCAAAATAAGAAATAGATAAATCTGTACACTCTAAACAGTGGGAAGAATAACGCATAATTAAAGCATTACCTACCGATTACGGAACATCTACGCTGACTAAATATTGGTGAAAGAAATCAAAACGAACAAATGCAAAGACACATGAAGCTGTAGCAGTGAGTTCTCAATGAATCTCACCATAACGAATGGCTGAAAGCACGAACCAAATTCCAAACGCTTTAACATCTTAATTGCACAACAGGCGAACCACGTTTCTATGGCAAGCCGTTTTCAAATTTCATTTCATAAACTCAACTAGTATCTATTTTTACGTTTCTATATTGTCATCATATATTCAATCTTACAAAATAACTGAACTAAAAACAAACTTTCTAACTAGTTACATAAAATCAATTGTAGCTGTTTAGATAAATGTTAACTACTGGTGACAGATACAGGTAGGATACCAGTATCCAATTATAAATAAGCTCATATAACTGAAATGGACAACTACTGTATTAACTATTGAGAGATACTAGTACCAGAGTGTTCAGTCTTGCTCCTGGAGGGTTACTGTCCTGCAGGAGCAGGGATTGGAGTTTAGCTATGAGTTTATGCAATTAAACACACCTGAACCAAAGTAATCACTGTCTTTAGGATTACTAAAATCATCCAGATAGGTATGTTGGTAAAAGCTGGAGCTAAACTCAGCAGTATGGTGGGACTGAAGGATTTCACACCACTGTAGTAGCTAAAAATGAATAGTTAACAGTAAACCTGAAAAAGGTGGTAGCAACAACTGAAACTAATTTTTTTTTTTTTTACTTAAAAAAAAAAAAAAAATTTATGAAATATTTATAAATTAATGGAAAAACTGCATTTAAATTGTTGCCACTAGCAATGGAATAGTTGCTGTTGAGCAATGGGATAAGTACTAGTATATAGAGCGAATAAGTACTAAAGACTAATTGAATAGACAGCCATATAGTGACTGCTGTTATATGGAATATAAATACTAGTTTCTGTTGAATAGTTATTAGTGAAATTGAAAAAGGCACTAGTTAATATTGTATTAATGATTAGTCATTATACATTCTGACAACAATTGATAATATTTAATTTAAAGGAATAAATGTTAAATAGGCTTGCCATAGATTTCCATAAACTTCCAGTGCGATTAAGTGGTGTAAGAGATTTGCTTGAGTGTAACCTATCTGACAGCAGAAAGAAGAGACATATATAAACTGTACACCATAAGCAGGTGGCACTCAAAAGATGCCATGCTTAAAATCAACCGTGAGCCCTTGATATCATATCTCAACTTTTATTGTTCATTTTCACTCATAGCGCAGAAGTATTTGCTCTCTGTTTCCTATTTGGGAACGAAAGAACTGAATTCATGAAAGGTGATGCAGTACTTTGCATATAGACTTAATGAGAAAACAAGTTATTTTATCATAAATGCTAACAGAAAGTCTACTGAATTTAATTTAAACAATGATATAATACGGTTCTGAGTGGTTCTTTTCTGAGTCCCCGATTTCAAATTCAAATTAATTTAAAAAAGCTTAAAATTGGACATATGATTTGAGTTGGTATTGCGTCTACATTAACAGGTGGAAAGAAAGCAGCTATTTTCAGTGGTTACCGACTGCCAGTGAAGCGCAACACGTTAGTGGAAAAGGACATCCCAATCCATGTCAGTATATTAAAAATAATAATCAATGCTGTCCACTCTTAATTCTCATTCCTGGAGTTAAACACAGGGCACTTACCAGTCACCCTTTGCTCCCTTGTTGATCAGTGCCAAAGCTGGGACACCCGGTGCATGTCCTTAAAGACGCATCCAATAATGCCAATCAAATTCCGTGATCACAATCCACATCTCGACATATATACCATAATATCACGTACAAAATGAGCAGAATCGCAAAAATAAACAGTGCAACCAGTATTGCTTTGGTGACTGGGGATATTAAAGACTGCATGATACCGGCGAGCTGGAGAAAGCAGACACCGTGAGCACAATGAAGATGGATACACGTTCAGGCGCCAGCAGCGTCCGATCCAGTCCGTATCTGCATTGGTGCGTGCCGAGTGTGAACCTACAGTGAAACGCGTGGGCTCTTCAAAAACATGACACGCGAAAGAGCGCTGCCTCATCCATTGGTGATCTCTCACACCATTTGCGCAAGGGGGCACGATACTCTGAGGTCCCTTCAGGATACCCATGATCCAATACTGCTTGCTCAAAAGATTAAAAAAAAAAGTTAAATGATAAGGATGTTAATGTTAAAGATTTTCAAAAAAAAAGGTAAGAAAAAGGAAAGGAAAACAATCAAATAGCTCTATAGGTTGCGTTACAAAGTGCTTTCAAAAAAAGCAAATCTTAGGTTTTAAAAGGAGTAGGTGCTCTTGGTATTAGTTTTTTTCTTACAAATAAGGTGTCCTTGAATTATATTGTTACCAGATCCGTTAACAAAGATGACAATCATGTGTTTTATTTCAACTTTAATCCCAAATGCACTTGTGAAGTCATATCCGATAATGGTGATTCTCAGTGAGTCAGACCAGAAATATTTATCATAGTTAAATTAATCCTGTACAGATGTTTGTATACCGTTCTTTTGTTGCAACGCATTCTTTTAACACTAGATGGAGTAAGAAACCAGTCTATTTGCTGTCTGCCAGGGGGCGCTATTTTCATGCCACCACTAATGCCAAAAATGTATTAAAATTAGAAGCGCGTGTTCAGTGATTTTTGAGCAGGGAAAAAACAATTTTCAAACTTAATCTTAAAACAAAATAGCACTGTTAGACTATTGCAGATACACATGTTGTTTGTCTAAAATGTTGTGGCAGAAATCACATAGGATACTGAATTTGTTACAACGACTTTCACCTTCAGCAGATCATTTTACACTAAAGATTCTGTCGAAAATTCTCACCACCATAATTTCCCCCCGTGTAACAAATACCAAAGTTACTAGCCTATTTTCCGTTAATTTGCTGTGCATATATAAAGACTGTTCTAATAATTGATCCACTACATTAGCCGACACACCAAATCCTGTTATACGAGCTCAAAAAAGCGCAGGTAGGGCGTGGTGAGGCGTCTTTACCCCGCACAGTGTTTCGAATCATCACTCTAATAATTAGACTGTAGGCTACAGACAGATGAACTGTTGAATAACATTGGGTTACGATTGGATCACTCAGAGGGGTGGGCCACATAAGTTAATACTCAACTTCACCTTCGAGATACTTGTAGTTGTTGATTTCAAGGCTCGTAAATCTTGTAGGACTATCTTTGCGAATTATTGATATTGCACGAGGTTTGTTTTAATCTGACATATTTCCACAGCAAGATGACTTCATACACGTGGATTTTACTCCTTCTGGCAAGTCTTGTGGCAACAAGAGCGCAAGGTATGGTTTCCTACCCAAACTGTTGACATTTTGTTTTGGTAACAGCGCTTGTAACAGTTGTAGCACTGGGAGATAGCGTGCCCAAAATAACCAAACAGAAACGCAGGCGCTTTTTGCCACTGCTAACCGTGCTCTGAATGAACTATAGCTATAAACGCTCGTTTTAATTGCTCTTAAATAGCTTATAAATTGGAGTTGAAGCGAGTTAAAAGTATTTGTCTACTATCCCAGTTACTTACCCTTTTGTGTTACGGAAAAAGTGCGTTTAGTGTTTTTGAATGACCAAAAATCTTGGTACATTGGTTTGGCTCTTGGAATTGAAATCTTTCCACATACAAGCTGCGTGACTCACCAACCAATGGGAAGAATGGCAAGAGAATTGTAGCACTGAGCATGTTTGTTTCTGTAGCGTGGTATTGGTAACATCACGTAAAGTTTTTAAAAGCATGACCAAAAGTTATGACACGTATGACAGATTAGTGATCTTTCCATGTATTCCCAGCTCCATTTGCCTTTATTCTCAACTTAATTTAGCTGAAAATACAGTAAAATACAGAGTTTACATTTTAAGATTCATATAATGGATGTGATGGTTCCTTTTCCCCCCTTCTTTCTTCAATTATACTTATAAAACAAACCACTAGTACACCGTGTCTTTACCTGTTGTTTTGGGCTTTTGTTCAAACTTGAAATATTGTAAATCTTCCATTTACAATGCATGATGCTAGCAGATGCATGGGTGGCATGTTATAATATTATACTGTTCCATATTTAATGTTTTTTTTTTTTTTTGGCAGGCATATGAGTGAGTGACTAAATAATTTTGCCAAGTGCTAACACAACATTAATGAATCCATGAAAACAACTCTCTCATTAATTGGTATCTCTGCTAGTTTGAGAAGCAACTCAAATTTCCAGTTAGACCCTGAAGGTCACGGAGAAAAAAAAAAAAACTTTTTTCAACAACATCAAATTTTGCTCTGCATTATCAGCTGTCAAGTTGCCTTGAACGGTGTACTAAATATACTTGATCCCATGATGTTGTCCCATACTTCCTGTGTTCCTGCATTGAGTCTCAAAGTAAACCACTGTATACTCTCCTTTCTACTGATTAGTTTCTGCTAGCTGGCTTAGCTCAGAGATCAGCACGACAGGCATAATGTACAGGCCAGAACAGATTCTGTCACAAGCAAAATCAGACACTCCCAAATTAAAATGTTTATGTTTTACATTTAATACTTGCATCACTCAAGTTTGCCTGAATCTTCACTTCCTAAATGTCTTAATGTGATTCTTTCCAAATATGTTTTTTTATGCAACGTAAGCCGATTACATAAATGTTGTACCCAGATTAGATAAAAGGATCGCTCTGGTTGTGACTCAACCAACAGTCATCATCATGGGTTTTGCCTAGAGACCATGAAGAAAACAGTCCATTGCCATGGCAACATAAGCCACAGGATGTGGCCTCTGCCGGGGTGTTTCATGTGGCAGACACACAGTCGCACGCTTGCCATCACGTGTAGTGTAAATCAGAGAACTTTTATTTCATATTTTTATGGTAAAAATTATTTTTGTTTAGTTTTGCTGTATGTCACCTCAAGGGTTGGGAGGGTTTGGTCACAATGTGAATCCACACACAATAGATACATACAGTGTGTAGCTGGGTGGGGTTTTCATGTGAAAGCAAACTATATCAAATTCCAATCATTTAGCCTAGTCGAGGCTTTTACCCTCTAGAAACTTGACAGGTTTATTTAAGTTTGTGACAGATGTTTTTAGTTTTTTTTTTAGTCTTCCTATTTGGGAGTCATGCAGGAATAACTGTGCTGTCTTGTTACTAACTTAGAACACTTTAAAATTAGCTGCAATGCCAATAGCCTTTATATTTGGAAATGATTTCAAGAAAATTATTATTTTCAGTTTCATTCGAGTCGCTTCACTTGGGTTCGATTTGCATCCTTTATTTGGGTTTTGTACTGTGGCATGGAGCCTCATGTAAATTGCATAATTCAGCTCAAATCAGGAGTTTTGGTTGGGATTAAACTGGCCATAAAACTACTAGAGAGAGACAAAATATTAAAATAACTGTTTTCTTGCAGATTTGAACCTCGCTGATGCTTTTGATGATGATGGCAAGCGTAAGTAAAGAGGACTCCCTATTTACGGTGTATGGTCCTCCTTGTGTTGATGGTCTACTTTTTGATATTTAATGTTATATATTTAAATATAAAAATATTAAATATAATCATTATTTATATTGTTGTTTCAAAACGATTAACAATATAATTATGATCCTAAGCCCCTGCGAAGCCAACGGTGAAACCAGCCCCACCGAAAAACCCAGATTCAGGTAACCTTTACCATTATGCTCAGACATATTTTAGTTGCTATATTTAATAATTGTATTGATTGAATTAGACACATGGAAGTATACGCAGAGACTTATTTAACTTGGTTTTGCCTTACTTTTGTAGGATTTGATCTTTCAGATGTCTTTGATTTGGTTAAGACTGTTTGGGCTCAGAAATATTCACAAAAAGAGTTGAAATGAATTGTGGTCATGTTAGTCTTTACTTAAATCACGCTGTTGTGGTTTTCTTTATTAGGGCTTGCTGAATATATGACGATCAGTACATTGATTAAACTCATTGTTTATTCATGTCCTCATTTGTTTGTATTTTAATCTGAAAAGTGCAACATGATGGACATTTTGTGGCACGGCATGGCAAAATGAACACCACCTTTGGAGATTGTAATTGTTTTTTTTAATGTAATTTTTTAATTACTCAAAATAAAAAAATAATGTAATCATGTTTTGTGGAAAAAAATGGACTAATCAGATTCTGTGGCTGCATGCAGTTGGATTTATTTAAATTGCAGTTCATTAAATTCCTTTGTTATGCCAATTCAGATTGCACCATTCCTTGGTTTTCAGTTTAATAACTAAACTTGAATTACTTTAAACTCAAAATGAGTTTCTTTATGACCATTGTTTGTTGTACACAGACCTGAAAACACCGGCAGTGGTTCCCCCCAAATCAGAAGATGGTAAGAGAACATTATAATGAGGTGTTTATGTAATTATGTATAAAGTTTGTGGGTTACACTTTTATTTTAAGGTGTCCTTGTTGTAGTGTAATCACATATTAAAGTAATATTAATTAGCAACATGGGTTAGGGTTTAGGGTTAATTGCAAGTAAGTACATGTAACAAGAAGGACACTAAAATAGTGCTACCAGTTTATATAGTAATGTTTAAAGGGGTCATATGATGCTATTTTAAAGATCATTATTTGGTGTAACAGAATATGTTGACATGCTTTAATGTTCAAAAAACACATTATTTTTCAAATACTGTACATTATTGTAGTTCCTCTATGCCCCGCCTCTCTCAAACGAGTCGTTTTCTATAAAGCCCCTCCTTCCGACAAGCGCAGTCTGCTCTGATTGGCCAGCTGACCCAGTACATTGTGATTGGCCGAACACCACAAGCACACCTCGGAAATGTAACGCCCCTTACCATAAACGCGAGCTTCAAAAACACATTATTTTTCAAATACTGTACATTATTGTAGTTCCTCTATGCCCCGCCTCTCTCAAACGCTTCGTTTTCTACAAAGTCCCTCCTTCCGACAAGCGCAGTCTGCTCTGATTGGCCAGCTGACCCAGTGCATTGTGATTGGCCGAACACCACAAGCACGCGTCGGAAATGTAATGCCCCATAATCGCGAGCTTCAGCTTTCAACATAAATGTAAAGACACTAAATAATGTCCTTAGTTTTACAATCAGTTCAAGCCTGAAAGGGGAACAGAGTCGCGTGACAGACACAGTGATGATGCTCGTATGTATTTGCAGTACACAAGCCGCGATTAAGAAAGCTGACTCCACTGTGATGTGACCCTGTCTCTCTCTC